ATTTTTTCATTTTATAAATGATTCAATATATAATAGTGAAACAGTTTCATTATATTGAAAATGGAATTAATGATAATGCAACACTTTTGATGAGCAAAGGTTTCAGTACGAAATAGTTTATGAAAAGGGTTGATGTTGGTGAAACAGTTTCATTTCATATTTGACTTGAGGCTGAATAATTAGTTTCATGATGAAACAGTTTTATTTAATTTTATATGTTATTAAGGTTCATGTAATTCATCAATGTTCAAAGGTTTCATATCATGAAGCTGGTGCATAGTGATTTATGAAATAGACATATCATGAAGCTGGTACATAGTGAAAAGGTTTCATTATGAAATAGTGTAGCAAATACTTTGATGTTGATGCAACATTTTCATTATGTAATTTATTGGGGATTGATGAACTAGTTTCGTAGTGAGCACAGTTGCATTGTATATAAAATTAATCCGTTTAGTTTGTAGAATGAAATAAAACGGGTGCGTAATGGAATTTGTTCTTTTAGAAAATTGACTCTTATGCAATGGGAGTATTTGAAAAAAAAATTTCATAATGAACATGCTAAAATAAAATAATGAATATTAATTTTCTAAAATAAAATAATGAATATTAATTTCCTAAAATAAAATAATGAATATTAATTTCCTAAAATAAAATAATGAATATTAATTTCCTAAAATACAATGGGAGTATTTGGAAATAGGAAACGAGGGCTTTTGATATKAATACCGATTCTACCCTTTTTTCTTAAATAAAATGAATATTAATTATTTTTTAATTTTTAATTTCCTAAAATAAAATAATATAATCTAGACCATTGATCAAGAAAATGGACGGATGAGATTGGTTTACACGGTTTACACAAATGGGTCAAGTTTTCATTTGAACGCTCCTCTCTCTCTCTCTCTCTATATATATATATATATTGATCCTTGCGTTATATATCTATATCTCCAAGGTCTCTTTTATCATTCTAGGAAGTTTGTTGGCTACCTACACTCTTAATTTGGATATTTAATTAATATGGTATTTAGAGGCCGTTTATCAAATGTTTATTGGTAAGAGTCACTGATTTCACTTACCTTATGTGACAACATTTTTTTGCCATAAAAAA